AGAATGGGCCTTCCCCTGGCTGCCGATACCGCCTTTGCTCCAGGCCAGAGCTGCCTTCCCACCTTTGCTCTGGGCTGGAGCCACCTTTTTGCCTTCCCATGCTGCCCAGAGGCCCGGAGCAGCTGGGGCTGTGCGGAATGCCTGCATTGTCGCCATGGTGCCTACATATACAAATTAACCCACCATCTTTGTTGGGTTAATTTGCACACCTGATTGGCTGTTGGGCATCAAGAAGGTACAGCCAATTTGCATCTTTCTCTTTTATTAGTGTAGATTATTAGTGATGAAATTATGTAATTCTGACTCCCCTACTAGATTGTAAGCCTCTTAAAGATAGGTACCATGAATGAATTCTGCTCTGCTGTATCCCTCACCTACCTCAGTTCCTGGCCCTGTGTAGGCAATGAATGTTTGTGAAAGTGAACACCTCTATCAGAGAGGTTGGGAATATTTTTCTGAGGCCTAGAATGATGGGTAGTATCTGAAAAGTTAGCATTTTTTTCACCTTCAACTCAGCAGTCAATGTATTTAGCCCCTTCTATGTAAGGATATTATGTGGGACAGAAAAATGTGTGAGATAGTACTTCAAGTAGTTTTCAGTAACAGGGAAAAGAAATGACAAACTTTCCCCATAGTGGCAAACCCTACTACAGAAAATCCATGTTCAGATTCTGTTTGCAAACCTCCTCCAGTGAAGAGCCCCTTCCACAACCCAGTCCTCGTTGGCCACAGTAGTTGAGCTTTCCAAACACGAATCCTACCTGCTTTCTGGGGCAATTGTTCTTCCTTTGACATTACAACCCTTTAAGTTATTACAAACAGCTCTCAGACTCCTACTATAGGTCTTCTCAAGGCTAAGCACCTTTACTTTTTTTTTTAATTTTATTGATTTCAGAGAGGAAGGGAGTGGTAGAAACATCAATGATGAGAATCATTGATCGGCTGCCTCCTGCATGCCCCCTACTGGAGATCAAGCCCGCAACCTGCGCATGTGGCCCTGACCAGAATCAAACCTGGGACCCTCCAGTCTATAGGCCAACCCTCTATCCACTGGGCCAAACCGGCGAAGGCTAAGCACCTTTAATTTTAAAAAATTATTTCCTAGCATGATTTCCAGACACTTTCATTTTCCAGGAACTTAAGTACCTGACAGGTGGGTTACTTTTTTATAATCCTGCCCTGAGGATATGTTTTTAAAATTTATTCTAGAGAGGAAAAGAAGGGGAGAGAAACATCGATTGCCTCCCGTACATGCTCAAACCAGGGATTGAGCCTGCAACCTGGATATGCGCCCTGACCGGGAATTGAACCTCTGACCCTACGGTTGTAGGGGACAAGGCTCTAATGAACTCAGCCACATGGACCAGAGCAGGCTGGCTATTCTTGAAGCATCTGTCAGACCTTAATGTAATTTTATTATTTTTAAAAATGTATTTTTTTATTGATTTCAGAGGGATAGAAACATTGATGAGAGAATAACTGATTGGCTGCATCCTGCATGCACTCCCCCGCCGGAGATCCAGCCTGCAACCTGGGCATGTACCCTGACTAGAAATCCAACCAGCAACCTCCTGGTTCATAGGCTGAGGCTCAACCACTGAGCCACATCGGCTGAGCTAATGTAATCTTATTAATACAACCTAAAATTGCTTTCATTTTAATTCTTTTTTTAAAATATTGATTTTAACTGATATCCAATGACTATCTAATGCCTTGATTCAGAATTTCTCTGAAAGGCCACCCTAGCATCAAAGATACCTTTGGAATTGACGAAAGCTGCTATTGCAACTAGGGTGACCAACCCTTCCGGTTTACCCAGGACTGAGAGGTTTCCCAGAACACAGGCGCTTCAGGGCTAAAACTGGGACAGTCTGGAGGGTTCGTCACCCTAGTTGCAGCTGCATGATAGTTCAACTTCTCCTTCTGACCAGACTGTTTCACTTGCTCTCTTATGTGTTTTCCCCCAAAATACTCCCATCACCCCTGCACAAAATCTCAGCATCTTCTCCAGGGAACAAACTGGCAACAGGCCTTTTTAACAAAATTCTTTTTTAAGAGAGAAGAAATCATAGCTCTTTGTATGCTATTGGAAACGATCCAACAACAAAAAGAAAATTTGACAAAGGGAGAATTGCAGGCAAGATCCATGGGGTGGAGGAATTGAGTGCACCCGAGACGGGACTGACCTTAAATAGGAGCATTTCCAACAGGAGGGAGGGTACAAATGCTGGTGTGTGGGTAGATATCATGGGGTAAGTTTACGAAAGCTTTCTTCTAGATGCTTCTATGTTCTCAGGGAAATATGAAGCAACATCATCAGCTGAGCTTAAAGATTAGAGGAGATATGGGAATTCTGAGGCAAGAGAAGATATGAAATGTGTAGAGAAGAAAGAATAACTTGTGGAAAACCTAGTGGTCCTGCAGGACCCAAATGAAGAGGCATCATTTTCCAAGTGGCTTCTGTCAGCATGTCTGCTTTCCCCCAGCCACTTTCAACTGCACAGGGCAGGCACAGAACAGGCACAGAGCAGGCAAACAGTTGGATTTAAGTGGGTTGAGTTTTACCAGGGAAGTACAATGAAGCTAGAGAGAGGGGA